GAAGTACAATAATATCTCAGAGAATTATTAAGAATATTAATTTGTGAATAATTAATAATTGCAAACTATATTTTGAGGGTGACTTCACAAATTTCAATGTATTATTCAAATACTTATTTTTGAGTCATGATGTTTCATATGTCAATAACCTTGAGAGCAAAACACACAGAGCATTCAAGCCACAGGCTTTTTAAACATTGCAATTTGTAAGAATATTTACAACTTTTTCTTAAACAACATCTAGTACCTGGTTGCATTTTTAGAAACCTTAGTTTTTTTTGTTTATACTTTTTTGTATATACTTGTTTATACTCAAAGGCCTGAATAAAGCACATCCGTGGTTTTAGCAAGTTTATAAAGTGAGAATTACTATTCATATATTTCTCTGTATATATTCAAATATATTTCTGTAATTTAAATTTGAAATTAATATGTATACTATATTGATGTGTTTATTAATTTTATGTATAGTTTTATGTTACATTTTCACTTTACATTCACAATCTCTCAAGTCCATGGTGGTATTGGAGTTGTGTCAATTATTACATTTAGGAAGGACGACACTAACTTCAGCCCTACACCCAGACTGGGAAAGGTGTTATAATCAGTCAAAAGGGTGCAGTGTCACAGAGTTCAGCACATATGTATATTAATGAGAGGCTATGAACTGCAGCAGCTGTAAGTCCTGCATTGATATTAGTGGTTTTATAATATATTAAATACCACTCAGATTAACTACAGTATGTCTGCTTTTACTGTTTTGGCTAAATGGGAAAAATAGAAAGACTAATCAGACAGGATATCAAAGTTTAATAAGTGAATACATAGGTCTAAAATATTTTGCATAACAAGACCTTCAAAGAAACAAATCTTCAGTTAAGATTGGATATCACAGTAGGTATCACAACTGTTGAGCGTTGATCACTTCCCTGAGAGGAGGATCGAACAGAAGTAATAAACACATTCCCATGTGTTAACACATCTGCTAACACAGCCAGTTGTAAGAGCAAGATAATTTTGTGCTCAATTAAATAAGTTACAATATGGTCAGGCAGACAGATTTTAAATTCTTTAAGCAAACATATCTGTTTAAGTTGGTCAAAATCAGCTACTTTGCAAGCAATTAATAACATATCTGAAATTATCCTTTCCTCACATGCAAACTCAACAAAGTTTTGTCACACCCTCTACAGCTATTCTGTCCTATCCCTAGTTTCCCAGTGCTTTGCTTGTCCTTCCGGGTTGTCTTTGTCTGGGGCTATATATTTCCGGGTCTTGAGACCCCTGCACCATGTCTCCCTACAGTGCCTTGCGAAAGTATTCGGCCCCCTTGAACTTTTCAACCTTTTGCCACATTTCAGGCTTCAAACATAAAGATATAATTTTTTTTATTTTATGTGAAGAATCACCAACAAGTGGGACACAATTGTGAAGTG